TCTTGACCCATTCTGCCAGTCTATTTCTTTTGATTGGTGAATTGAGTCCATTAACATTGATGTTTATAACTGATACATACTGACTTATCATTGTCATGACTTTTTCTTTTTGTTGGATTCTCCCGTTTTGCTTTTCATTTCTTGTCACCCCCAATGCATTCATTCTGCTTTGCTTCTTGGGGTTGTGATCATCATTGTCTTTTCCTAGGATACTGTCTAAAATGTTTTGGAGTGCTGGTTTGGTATTCATGAAGTTCCTATGGTGCTCCTTGTCATGAAAGTATATTATTTATCCATCAATTTTGAAAGACAGTTTTGCAGGTTACATCAATCTGGGTTGAAGGCTGTTTTCCTTTAGGGCTTGGAATACATCACTCCAAGCTTTTTTTGCCTTGAGGGTTTGTGTTGAGAAGTCTGCTGTGATTCTGATGGGCTTTCCTTTGTATGTGATCTGTTTCTTTTCTCTAACTGCTTATAGAACTCTGTTCTTCTGTTGAGTTTCTGGAATCTTAACAATTATACACCTATGTGTAGATGTTTTTTGATCAAGGCTATTTGGAGTCCTATATGCCTCACTTACCTGTATGTCAAGTTCCTTTCTCCTGCTTGGGAAGATTTATGCCATCTCTCTGTGAACAGTTTTTATGCCATCCGCACTCTCTCTCATTTCTTCATTGACTCCAATCAGTCTTATGTTATTCTTCTTTGCATCATCTAGCAGCTGCTGGATTGATTTCTTGTGGTCTCTTACAATTTTGAAGCAATTTTTCCTTTCCTGGTCATTAATTGCAATCTTATCTTCTATATCTGACATTCTGTCCTCACATTTTCTCATTGTGCTGTGTAGACTTTCAATGGAGTTTTTAATCTCCTAGAAATCTGTTTGCATCTGTTTTATGGATTCCATTTATTTCCTATGTTGGGATTCCATCATGTTCCTCAGCTCCTCAATTTTTTAATCTGTGTCCTCTCTAGATTTATTAATCATGTCTTGCACTATTGGCACAATCTTTGCTGTTATGTGAGAAATTATTTCTGATTTCATTTTTTCCAGATACTCTTTTATTGCCAATTCAGGGAGTTCAGGTCGTTGAGTATCAGAGTGTTCCATCTTGTTTCCTTTTGGGGTTGCTGTAGGTGATCTGGAAGTCTGACTTTGAGACTTGTTTACATGTCTTCTTATTTTGACAGGGTGGGGTTGCTGCTGGTGCCCGGGTGGCTAGCCTCCTCTGTGCTGGGAGCAGTGGTATGGTGGCCCGGAAGCCTCCTCTGCATTGGGAATGGTGCTACAGTGGCCCAGAAGCCTCTTCTGCACTGGGAGGGGTGCTAAGGCAGCCTGGAAGCCTCCTCCTCTCAGAATGATTCTAAACTACTTCATTTTGTGTGTCTAATCTTCCTTGGGAAGCCTATTTTTTTATTCAGACTTTTCATCATTTTCAGATTTGAAAAAAAATATGAGTGAGAACGCTTTAAACATTCCACCTATCTTTTCAGGGCTAAGGGAAAGCATCACTGGTAGCACCATTCTCTTATGCCATTCCTGTTGCTATGAACCAGGAGAGATCCACCCACAAACTTGGTTGGCTGCTTTACTTTATCTTTTTCTTTTCTTTGGCTGCTTTACTTTTAATGAGTATCCAGTCTACATTAATTGCCTTCCACTTTAAATACCTCATAAATTAAATGATTGTCAAAACTTTCCCTAGCAATATCAATACATGGGAGAATACACTAAAAATGTAATTTTAAGAATGTTTTGCTCATTATTTCCCTTCCAGTTCTTAACAAAGACTCAAAATTTTCTTAGTTTAACAGAACTTCATAGTTTTGTGTGTTTTCTGTGGTCACATTTCCACTTCTGCTTCTTAATATGCTGACTTTTCAATGGAAGTTGTTTAATAAATGCTATTTTTAAAATTTATAATTTTTTTCTTTCTTTCTTTAAGAGACAGTTTCACTATGTAGTCCACGTTGGCTCTGAACTCACTACATAGCCCAGGTTACACTCCCACTCAATATCCTTCTGCTTCAGCCTTCCAGAGGCATTCAGTTTAATAACCAGGAACTTTCATTATCGGTGAGTGAAAAGCCTTAATTTTTAAATGTCTTATAACAATTAAATTAATATTATCTCATACACAATTCTTTGTATCAGTGGGCAGCCATTTATTTGTGAAAGAAAATCACATGGTCTATCCAAGTGTGATATTCAAATCATTTAACAGCTGGTACAGCATCAGCGAAAAAAAAAAAAAAAAGAAAAAAAAATTAAGAAAGGAACTATCCTCACACAATTAATCCAGCCCATGGAGACTACAAACTGAACAGCATCATTGGGAGGGACTCTCATTTTGGTTATTATTAACTCACCATTTAACTTGGCAAAGTGTGGCAGTGACAGTGTTGTGATATTTTTAAGGCTTTACAGGACTTTTAACAATCTGTTCTGGAACAACAGTGTTTCAGTCCCCATACAACAAGCATATCCCAAACACAGGAGACAAATTCTGTAGAAGTTATGCTAGCAGGGGCAGGGATTTAGCTCAGTGGTTCCATCGCCTACCTCTCAAGCGCAAAGACCCAAGTTTGATCCCCGGTACCAAAAAAAAATATATTGAATATCAAAATACTGATACACTTGAGAATGTTAGATTGACTGTTGACATTTTTTTCTCTCCACACCCCCACCAACATTTGTTATTGGTTGATTTCTTAATAGCAGCCATTCTTTCTGGGGTGAGGTGGAATCTCAGTGTTTCATCTGCATCTCTTGAATGACCAGTGATGTTGAACATTTTTTCATATATTTATTTGCTGCTTTTACTTCTTTATCTGAGAAATG